GAGTGCACACTGTGTGTAGAATGTCCATTAGTTGATATTCCCTGTTCTTTTCATAAATGCTTAAGTAGCAAAAGTGTTTGCTCCAGCTCTAAATCACAAAGAAACATTACACAGGATATATAGTAGCAGAAATGTTATTACTTAATCAGCTATGGGAAGAAGGCTGTTTTGTAGAAATCTACTCGCCCGAAGTCTTTTGATTTCACTTTCAAACAGAGGCAATGTTATGCTCCTGGTTTAGAAGTGGATGTACCTTGCTATGAGAGGAAGAATTTCATGAGGCAAGTGCCCCATTTGTAGAGCTCTGAAGCACAAGCAAAAACTCTTTGTGACTGGAGCCACACCTTTCTCTGCAGCATGGGAATAAATTTGGTGTGAATAGAGAGAGAGGGGTGTGTGTGTGCACACGTACAGTTTTCTCCATTACAGAACTTCTACCTGCAGGCATAGCAGATCTAAACAGTTCTGAACTGTGCAAATCATCAAGCAGTACCAGGTTGAGGCCTAGTTTTAGGCCAAGGCCACATTTCAGTCGCTTGGTTGCCTAGCTGCTAGTGTGATGCTCCTTGCTCTCTGTTCTAAAGTCTGTCATTGCTTCTAGCACAGTAATAAGCCCCCACTTTGAAACCCAGAGAGACTGTGAGGAAATTAATGTGGGGAAAGTGTCTTTTCATAGGTAATTTGAGGAAACAATAACAAAGCAATTCTCTTCTTTCCCACTGCTTGTTTTTTGCTGTCCAGTACTGGAAAGAACACATAATCACTTTTTGAAGACTGAACCTCTGCCTTCATGTCCTCTTGAAATACCAAACATGGCATTAATAGTTCTACACATTTCACCCTCGTGCTCAAATAGTGTTCTTAGCAATGGTCTACGTAGGAATATGTTAGCTACTCCAGTGACTGTGTAATGGATCAACTGCAATTTTTTGCCACAATCCTGTTTATTTTGATGTTTACTTAAAATGCTTATTAAGGAAATATCTTATAAGATTTGTATCTGAGGGTCTGCCAAAATCTTCATTTTCCATCAGTCTGAATGCCACTGAACCTTTGTCTCTGTAAGATCTTGTTATTCCTTAGAAATGCGTTCACAAGATGTTGAAAGGTACTGAACCTTTGTCTCTGTAAGATCTTGTTACTCCTTAGAAATGTGTTCACAAGATGTTGAAAGGTATTCGTATTGAAATCATTCTATCATTTTTGAGATTGTATTTCCAAGTACAGCTTTTCCCACTCTTTTGTTGACTATGAGGGCTACTCCATTCCTTCTACGGGCTTCTTGCCCACAATAGTAGATATGATAATCGTCTGAATTGAATTTGCCCATTCCCGTCCATTTTAGTTCACTGACACCCAGGATGTCTATATTAATTATTGCCATTTCCTGTTTGACTACATCCAGCTTGCCAAGGTTCATAAATCTTACATTCCAGGTGCCTATGCAGTATTTTTCGTTGCAGCATCAGACTTTCCTTTCACTTCCAGGCACATCCACAGCTGAGCGTCCTTTCGGCTTTGGCCCAACCACTTCATTAGCTCTGGAGCTACTTGTACTTGTCCTCCACTCTTCCTCAGTAGCATGTTGAACGCCTTCCGACCTGAGGGGCTCATCTTCCAGCGTCATATCTTTTATCCTTTTGTTTCTGTCCATGGAGTTTTCTTGGCAAAGACACTGGAGTGGCTTGCCAGTTCCTGCTCCAGGTGGCTCATGTTTAGTCAGAACTCTCCACTATGACCTGTCTGTCTTGGGTGTCCCTGCACGGCATAGCCCATAGCTTCTCTGAATTACTCAAGCCCCTTCACGACAAGGCAGCAATCTGTGAAGGGGGTTTTTCCTGCTGCTTCAGATAAATGTTAGCAGTGGCAAAGAAGGAGCTCTGTGTGGGCTACTGAATATGTATGAATGAGTTTGTGGATAAGAGACAGTGCAAGTATGCATGTGTTTGTCCTGCCCCCTTTCAGTTCTGCTCTGCTTACCACTGGCATGCTGTCCCTGGAAAGCCAGCGAGAAGGGAATGCAGTCCTCTGGCTGTAAAATATCTCCTACCCTGGCTTTAAGGCAACTTGATAGCATCAAGTATCTTAATCCAAGGTCAGACAGGAATTCTATAAAAGGTCAAAGAATTAAATGAAGGTTCACTTCACCCATTTCAGTAGGTCCAAATGTACAGTCAAGCTGCAATACGCACCCACTGCTGTCATGGAGGGTATGAGATAACCATATACCTTTTTCTTCCAGTGCATGCATATATACCACTATGAAATACTTTACAAAACAACTTGCCCCATTGTGTTTTAGTGGCAAATGTACAGTGAAAAAAAAGTTAGGTACTTTGCATATGGAGCAGATGTACACTAACTTCTATGTACCGGTTCTTACAGTAATGAACAAAGCAGAGCTTCCATCTCACATACAGTGGGGTCTCTACTTAAGAACTTAATCCGTATTGGAAGGTGGTTCTCAAGTTGAAAAGTTCTTATGTTGAATCTGCATTTCCCATAGGAATGCATTGAAAACCATTTAATCCGTATCTGCTCTTTTCGGTCCATAGAAACTACAGTGGAACCTCTACTTAAGAACTTAATCCATTTTGGAATGGTGTTCTTAAGTTGAAACGTTCTTAAGTTGAAGCAAAATTTCCCATAGGAATGGACTGAAAACCAATTAATCCGTTCTGGCTGTTTTTTTGTTATGTAGAGGTGCGTTCGTACGTTGAAGCATTAGTTCCCATAGGAACTAATGCAAAGCTGGTTAATACGTACTCTACCACTAGGGGGAGAATTTTTTTTTAACCTAAGATGACCTAAGGTTAAAAAAAAGAGCAGGAAAGGTTTTTTTTCCTGTTCTTATCTTGGATTTCTGTTCTCAAGTAGAAGCAAAATTTAGCAAATGGAGCTGTTCTTAAGTTGGATTGTTCTTAAGTAGAGACGTTCTTAAGTAGAGACCCCACTGTAAAATGTGTTCTTAAGGGATTTCTTTACTTATAGCAATTCTCTTTCAAAAATTACACATTTTTCGTAACTGAACACAAAATGGCAGACACTATGTCTTAAAGCCACAAGGATGGCATAGACCTACTGTATGGATTTCTAGATTATAGGCAGAAGATCAGTAGTGGGCTATCAGTTTGTTCACTTTCTTTCCTTAGGCTATCTTTTGTCAATAATAAATCCCCTTCTTGGACCATATAACATTACATCTTGGACCATATAACGCTACCGCAGTTAAAACTAAATGATGGTTCTTTAATAATAGGATTAAATGCTACATAGCAAATCCTGACCAGTTCCTGCTCCAGGTGGATCATGTTTAGTCAGAACTCTCCACTATGACCTGTCTGTCTTGGGTGTCCCTGCACGGCATAGCCCATAGCTTCTCTGAATTACTCAAGCCCCTTCACGACAAGGCAGCAATCTGTGAAGGGGGTTTTTCCTGCTGCTTCAGATAAATGTTAGCAGTGGCAAAGAAGGAGCTCTGTGTGGGCTACTGAATATGTATGAATGAGTTTGTGGATAAGAGACAGTGCAAGTATGCATGTGTTTGTCCTGCCCCCTTTCAGTTCTGCTCTGCTTACCACTGGCATGCTGTCCCTGGAAAGCCAGCGAGAAGGGAATGCAGTCCTCTGGCTGTAAAATATCTCCTACCCTGGCTTTAAGGCAACTTGATAGCATCAAGTATCTTAATCCAAGGTCAGACAGGAATTCTATAAAAGGTCAAAGAATTAAATGAAGGTTCACTTCACCCATTTCAGTAGGTCCAAATGTACAGTCAAGCTGCAATACGCACCCACTGCTGTCATGGAGGGTATGAGATAACCATATACCTTTTTCTTCCAGTGCATGCATATATACCACTATGAAATACTTTACAAAACAACTTGCCCCATTGTGTTTTAGTGGCAAATGTACAGTGAAAAAAAAGTTAGGTACTTTGCATATGGAGCAGATGTACACTAACTTCTATGTACCGGTTCTTACAGTAATGAACAAAGCAGAGCTTCCATCTCACATACAGTGGGGTCTCTACTTAAGAACTTAATCCGTATTGGAAGGTGGTTCTCAAGTTGAAAAGTTCTTATGTTGAATCTGCATTTCCCATAGGAATGCATTGAAAACCATTTAATCCGTATCTGCTCTTTTCGGTCCATAGAAACTACAGTGGAACCTCTACTTAAGAACTTAATCCATTTTGGAATGGTGTTCTTAAGTTGAAACGTTCTTAAGTTGAAGCAAAATTTCCCATAGGAATGGACTGAAAACCAATTAATCCGTTCTGGCTGTTTTTTTGTTATGTAGAGGTGCGTTCGTACGTTGAAGCATTAGTTCCCATAGGAACTAATGCAAAGCTGGTTAATACGTACTCTACCACTAGGGGGAGAATTTTTTTTTAACCTAAGATGACCTAAGGTTAAAAAAAAGAGCAGGAAAGGTTTTTTTTCCTGTTCTTATCTTGGATTTCTGTTCTCAAGTAGAAGCAAAATTCAGCAAATGGAGCTGTTCTTAAGTTGGATTGTTCTTAAGTAGAGACGTTCTTAAGTAGAGACCCCACTGTATATGTTTGAAGATGGAAACAAAGCAAACCTGGGAATATCAATCTGACACACTCAGAGAAAAGAAACAGGAGTGGCAGCGTATTCAAGTGCTGCTTTTGTTTTACAGAGAGATTCTCCAAAGCTGAGACCAGCACTTTGTTACTGGCTTCTTGGCTCTGGCATTCTGCATTATCTTACCTATCTGGAATGCTTCCACTCTGGCTTGTCTGCACTTTTAAATATTACCAGTAGCCTGGAAATAATACATTCATAGCATGTCTTTTTCCATTAGTAATACATCAGATCAGTAAAACAAGGGGATATGCAGTTCCACCTGGGCAAACAGTAGTACGACAACCACCAATGCAATGCTGCTGGAGTTCACAAGAGGCTCCCAATTCCAGACAGCCCCCCCCCCTCTGCCCTTGCCACTGCAGGCCCAAACATGATGCCGTTCTCACTTACTCATGCTGCAGCAGGTCTTTGAAGTGAATCATCTCCACAATGACCTGAACATTCTCCTTGGCCGCAGAGCAGAGGTCATGCTTCTGGTAGCATTCACGCTGCAGCTGGAACACCATCTCTTTGATGGCGGGGCACTTGCGACTGATGCAGCTGAACCTGTGGCGCAAAGCATGAGCCTTGCATCTCAGAGCATCTTTAATAAAAGATTTTCCCTAAAGAAAGGCAGAAGACACAAAAAAGACACCTGAACTCATCTCCAGTATGCATGACTCAGAGCTAAGCTGCCACCTCTTCTGGAGTACACCTTGAGAGAGAGAGAGAATGAGAGAGATGGGAGTACCTAGAAATATTTACATGTATTAAGTGTGTGTGTGTGTGTGTGTATTGGTTTTCTAACAAAAAAACTGCCTCCGCAGCCTTCTATTGCCAGTGAATGTCAGGCAATGGAGGAGGCCCCTTTAAAGACTCTCCATGAGACTGGGTAAATTATGTAGGACATGATTTCCTGTTCAGAGACCAAAACTCAAGACCTTTTGGCTGTTTTTCTTGCATTTAAACACAATACCCCTTCTGAAAATTGACATCCTGTATGGATGCATCTCAGAAGACTTTCTACAATGTCTTGCAGCATTGGGATAGGCTGAAGCCAAGCATTAATTAGTATTCTTGGGCCACTGTAAATGATCCACTGAGCCCCTAGAACTTCCCATTTCCTGGTCCTCTCATGCCAGACATTTTGCTATTTAAATTTCCACCAAAGTAGTACAGTGATGTTATGTGGCTATTACTACCTGCGAAGACTGAGGATTCCATAGAAACACAGGACTGATAGTAGAAAAGGACTAAGACTGAGCTACACACAGAAGAACAGCAACATTTTGATCACTTACTTTATTGATGATACCCAGTCCTACAACCCAGTGGCTCCCAGAATGTTGGCAGCTGCATTCTGGGATACAGTGGTGCCTCGCCTTACGACGTTAATTCGTTCCAGCGAAATCACTGTAGAACAAAAACGTCGTAATGTGAAATAAAAAAGCCCATAGAAACGCATTAAAACCCGATTAATGCGTTCCTATGGGCTTGAAACTCACCGTCCAGCGAAGATCCTCCATAGCACGGCCATTTTCGCTGCCCGTGCAGCAAGGAATCAGTCCCAGAAAAGAGCGGGGAACCATTTTTTTTAACCCAGCGGCCATTTTGAAACCGCCGATCAGCTGGCCGAAAGCAGGGAACTGATCATCGCAAAGCGAAATTCCCCCATAGGAAACATTGTTTTGCAATCGCTTTTGTGATCGCAAAAAGTTCATCGTAATGCGATTTCGTCATTAAACGGGGCGCTCGTCTTGCGAGGCACCACTGTAATTTCATGGGTAGTATACAAACCAACCAGAAAACAATGCATGGGAATACAACTTTGGTATTGAAAAATATACATCTTCAGCAAGTTCAACATCACATACAAAAACCACTATGGCAGAAATATAAAGAATAGAACGTTGTGCCACATATAGTATGTACCATCATGGATACATACATTCTGAAGCCTCTGGAGGGTGCAATCTGCTGTTTATAGCCTTAACCTCAGAACTGCAGAGCTGGAAGGGACCCTCTGGATCACTGAGTCCAGCCTGACAAGGAGGCACAGTGGGGAATCAGCTCCCAACCTCTGGCTCTGCAGCCAAAGAACTAAACCACTGCACTACCCAGCATTTCTTTCTGTGCCTGTTTTTGGCATTAAATTGTCATTCAGGCTTCCTGTTTTCTAAAGCTTTTTAAGAACAGGATGATTATATCCTATACTTAAATTTTATACCTGACCTCCGAAAGGCTTTTGGAGTGTGATCTTCTGTTCTTCAGTAAAACTCCAAGCTTTTCTCTGGGATGTCAGAAAGTATGGGTGCATCTCAGAACACTTTCTGTAGTGTCTTGCAGGATTTGGACAGGCTGAAGCTAAATGTCAACATGTAGTATGCAGACCTCCAAGGCTGAATGGAATATCAAAATGGTTCCCAGACCTTTCAATATTGTTCATCCCGGTTATAAATCTTTGCACAGTACACATCAGACAGAAACAGTGTGTGATCTTACTCTCCAGAAACACAGCATCTCTATTCTAATCCAGTTACTGTGTTATGGGTTTACTTGAAAGTCAGTAAACAGAGTTCAGCAGTACTTTCCCCCAAGAAGTAAAGGGCAATTCCATCTACACTTATTTATTTATTTATTTATTTATTTATTTATTTATTTATTTATTTATTTATTTATTTATTTAATATCCCGCCTATCTGGTCAAGCTAGGACCACTCTAGGCGGCTAACAACCTTAAAAATAATACAGTAAACAATGTAAATAAACAGTTCTAAATCATAAAAACACTACATTACGATGCCAAAACACAAAACATAGAACAGTAAGGGAAAGAAAGAAAGAGGTCATGAGTTATGTGATGGAAAGGCCTGCCGAAACATCCAAGTTTTTAATTGCTTCTTAAAAGTACCCAGCGAGGGAGCCCCGCGAATCTCAGGAGGTAAGTTGTTCCAGAGGCGAGGAGCCACCGCCGAGAAGGCCCGGTTTTTTGTCTTTTCCTTCCGGGCCTCCCTCGGCGTTAGGCTCCTCAGTCTCACCTCCTGGCTCGCACGAGTGACACGGGTAGATCTTGGTGGGAGTAGGCGTTCCACCAAGTATCGAGGCCCTAAACCGTTTAGGGCTTTATAGGTAAGCATCAACACTTTGAAGTCGATGTGGAATCGGATGGGCAGCCAATGCAATGCGGCCAGAGTGGGTGAAATATGTTGGTGTTTTTTCACACCACTAAGTAATCTGGCTGCCGCATTCTGCACCACCTGTAATTTCCGCAGCAGCCTCAAAGGTAGCCCCACGTAGAGCGCATTGCAGTGGTCTAATCTCAAGATTACGAGCGCATGCACCAAGGTAGTGAGCGCCCCCACATCTACTCCAAATTCTGTTGAATTCAATCAGATTTCTTCCCAGATGTGCATGGATTTCAGCTTTAATCTGTCAAAACTCATACTGTAGAAAACTAAAAAGGACTTCCTCCTCTCTTCTTCCTTTTCCCACTTTACTCATGTTGATTGATAATGACCTCCTTCCAAAGTGAAAAATCCAGCCTTCAGCACAACACTGCAATAGTGTTTGAGTATTAGTGCATACAAAATGTGGATATTAGTGCATTAAATTTAAAAAGGAGAAGGAAGGAGGGTGAGCTTTTAAGGAAGATATAAATCACTGCCTCCAGCTAAGTCTATGATCATTGTTCCTATGCTGTGCATCACATCTGCAAGGAAAACCTAAGTGATTCCTAATCAGCTTCCATTCTGCGATTAAGTTTGAAAGCCAGTCATGCTGCAATGATGTGCTACCATTCTCTGGATACCCGGTCAGTTCTTGGTGAATGACAGGCAGGTGGCAATGTTCTGCATTTCTCCCAGTTTCATCCTGGCTGATGAGAATTTAATAATCAGCATACCATACTGGACAAATTATTTCTCCCCAAATTTTGCAACGGTAGAATTGAAGCAGTCAGCGTGAGAATCTAGATCCCCTTTTGTTTGTTCATTTCTTTAGGATGAGATGAATTCTTGTTTTAAAGACAATAGTGATTAAGAAAGTAGAGGTGCTCTTTGCTAAGTGGTGATCAAATACTTTAGTTTCAAATTGCTAAAGAAGGAATTACAGCAACACTGGGAATAATGCAAAACTACCCTAAACCCAATCACTAGTTCCAGCCAATGTAGACCAACTGAATTAATTTCTGATTTGCAAACCAATGACTGAAATCTAGTGGCAAGTTGCAACTAGTGTAGGCCATTAAATCAGTGAGGATTTGATGAGTCATTCCTCTGTAACTCCATTGATTCAATGGGGCTACTGTAGGGGTGTGTGTGTGTGTGTGTGTGTGTGTGTGTGTGTGTGTGTGTGTGCGCACACACACACATCATTGATTCAGTGGATCTACCCTATTTGAGATTAGCAACTGGATTCACCTATCATCTCTTTCATGAGAACAACCGACGTGAACATCAAAATATTCAAGTAGCATTTCAATATAAAGCTTCACTGTTGTTTACTGATGCACTGAAATTCCAAGATAAATCATGAAAAAAACTGCTACAAACTTTTCATTGGGAGTTCTACTGCACAGAATGTGTGGAATATCACAAAGTAAACACTACTTGTTTTCTTTAAAAGACTGATTTTTCATAGCTCTCTCAAAGTCGGAAGAAAGGATAACAAATTCCCATTAACTTGAAAGCAGGTATTCTTTTCTGTCTAAAAAAGCAGTTTAAAAACCTCTAGAAAGAACTTTAAAATGGGGGGAAATAGTTTTAATACCAAATTAACAAAACAAGACAACTTTTATTCCTACCACATTAAAAGCCAACTCTTTTGACTGAACTCTTTGTGCACACACACCACAGAGTAATCTGCCCAGTCAAAACAAATGCCACTGACTCATCATGTTCTCTTTCCCTTTTTACTGAAATGGGAGAATAGCTCTGCAAGACATAATAACAGAATGCTTCAGGGATGTACAAAATGAAGGAGGCAGATTTAATGCCACACACTAACTATGGAATGTACTTTGACACTGGTAAATTGCCAAGGGATCCTTTGAAGAGAGCAGATGGCTATTTCTGAGGACACTGCATGGTCCAATATACCTCTGCTGAACCTTATTTAACTAATCCTATGCAATGTGTAACATAGGAGTTTGAGAAAAAAAACATAAAGCCTTTAAGAAAAATATTCCTAATATGGCACTCCTGGATTAAAGCACTGAGAATGGACTCCATTCCTCTTTAACAGAGTATTCATGCCAGTGAGAGGGCTTTTCAATTACAGCTCAGAAGAGGTCGTGGTCTAAACCTGGCTTCCGTGAGGCAGAGAATTGCTCCTCGCTGAAACACTAAATCTAGGATAATATTAACAGTTAATTATTTAATTTAGTATTAAATGATATATTTTTTTACTACATAGGAGATTCTATTTGCTTCAAGGGAGATAAAAGAGGCTTTGGGCTAGTACTGTTCACTGGTCATTTATAGAGATGGGCATGAGCCGCTGGTTCTTCCTTTGGATGAACAGGTGTTCAGTGCCTCTCAGTGCCCCCCCTTCAGTGCGTGCCTACTCAAGAGGTAGCACCCAGAGCCAGCAAGGCAGCTGGGGCGGTACCTGCAGGGGGAGGTGGACCTGTGAACCGCCCAACACCTGCTCATCTGAAGGATGAACTGATACAAATCATTAAACTGGCGGTTTGTGCCCATCTCTAGTCATATACAAAATTCTAAGTTTTATGAATCTATACAGCAATACAGTATATATATATATGTACACATATACACTATGTTTGAGCAATCGCACATAAATCCAGAAGCATCTTTCGATATTGTGCCACTGCCATCCCCACTGCTGAACAGACAAAATAGCTCAAAAACCAAACAATTGTATTATCTATTTGGCAGGAGGAAATATTGTCCCGCACAAGCGGTTCTGCCTCACAGATTCATATTTGGCCTACTAGTAGTGTTTAGTAAAGGGAAGAAAATGATATGCCAAAATAAGTGCTGATCTAGCCTTTAGTTCCTTCACTCAATAAGCAGTTGGAAATTGAAGTTATGTGAAACATGTGGAAGAAACTCAGTGCTATGAAATTTTCCACCCCAGGGGTGGGGAACCTTTAGCCTTGCAGAAATTTTGAATTTTAATACCAAGAAGCCCCATCCAGCATGAGTAAGCAGGTATGGAATTTTACTCCAAAACAGCCTGGAAGGCCAAAAGCATCTCCCTGCCCATGTTCTACACAATAGTATTCTGCATTATGAACCCAAGGTGCCTTTTCACTTGATAGGACTTGAGGGGAACCAGCATATCCAAGATATAACAGGGAGAGATTTGTGGGTGGTAACTGGGTATTGTGTATTAACACTCTGTGCTATGAACATCCTCTGTTCCAGGGTGTTCAAAACTCAGTCACTTCCGTGAGGGACATAAATTAATACTGAGTAAGGGCAATTGTGCAAATTTTATTTATTTGCATTTTGCTGGTTGTCACTTGACTTGTGCTACTGACTACACAATCAGGACAAAAGGTGATAAAACAGTGCATGCCAGATCCTTGATTGTTCTTTCACACTCCATAATCCCAACAGAATTCTGGCCAAAGTACTGTACTTAATTTTGCAACATTAGGTTTGGTTATGCTTACCTGGGCATCAAACTTTCCAGCATTGTGGAGGAATGTCATGCAGATCTCGTGTAAACCTCGAATCTCGCAGGAGTTGTTTTCAAAGCATTCAAACACACTGCAGCCCACATCACCAGCACTGACCAGGCAGTGCTGGATTTCAGCTGAAAATGAACAGCCATCACAAGAAATGATGTAAAACTATAATGTAAACTGTAGAGTCAAGCGTTATTTTGCTAAAATCTTCATCTGAAGACAGGAGAAAGCTTGCAGAAGCTAGATTACTGTGATTGTTTTTCATATAAATTAGATCCAAACAATACTTTTGAGTAGCAAAAAGTCACTGTTAAACCCAATCCTCTTATATGAGAGGTATTTTCACAAATAAGTGCTACCATGATGTAGTGGTTGGAAGCGGCTAGGTCCCAATATACTCAATTCGTTAAGCTCCCCAGGTGTCCTTGGGCCACCTCCAAATTCAGCCTTCCTCACAGAAGTGCTGCTGCAGCTGTAAATATACAGTAAGGATAAAAATCTTATACACTGTCCTGAGCTTCTGGGAGGAAAGACAGGCTAGTCACATAATAAATGAGTAATGTGGTAAACTGAATCTTTTACCCTTTTTGTAGGAGGCAAAAATCAACATAACGCTGAAGCAAAACTGCAAATGATTTATTTATTTATTTATGGACTTATATATGCTACAAGCACTTTCCGGGCGGTTTACAATTTTAATTATACAGGCTACACATTTTACCGACCTCGGAAGGATGGAAGGCTGAGTCAACCTTGAGCCGGCTACCTGGGATTTGATCCCCAGGTCGTGAGCACAGTTTTAGCTGCAGTACAGCGTTTTAACCACTGCGCCACGAGGCTCTTAGTTTAGATAGTATTTATTGGATCTTCTAATTTGCATAAGTGGCTGATAATTCATTTATAGTTACATGTATGTCCAACATAAGCACACTTCCACACTAGAAACTCAGTGAAAAAAACTTTTGGCAAATCTGCAAAAAGTCAGAGCTTTTTTTTCTATAGTTACTCTTCTATACTGCTATTGACTATTCCTAATTTTTCGCTTGGAAGCAAACACAACTATAGTAAATGGAGCAGACAGGCATCAAATTTGAACCTAAGTCCCAACAGCAAACTGGACAGTATTCAGCGTGATGAATGATAAGTAAAACGAGCTCATTGTTCCTTTCAGGATTTGTGCAGTATTTCAAAGCATGGGCACTATACGGGACCACTTGACGCAAGTGCTTTTGAGTTTTCCCAAAACTAAAATATATTTGACACACCATTTCCTGATTCAAGGCGCTGAGAAACAGCAAGCACTCAAGTCAAGCAGCCTGGTGACATCTGGAGCAAAAACATTATTTCCAAGGTATTGTCAGTTTTTCTCTGGCCTTTTGCTTCAAGCTGGGGGGGGGCGCGGTTTGGTTCTTTTAATTCATGAAAGGAAGCCAGAGGTGCTCAAAGAGTCCAAGTGAAAATCAGACTTCGGCTTTAGCACCATGCAAAGAAAGAGGGCCATTAAATTCCAAATAATATAAAACAAAACAAAAAACGTGGGCGCAGGCTCCTTCTCTCTCTCTCTCTCTGAACGATCCTGATTGGCTAAGGGTCTGGAAAAGCCAAGGCGGGATCCTGCAGCTCTATTCCCTTTCCAAGAACGCCTGATTGCATTGTGTTCTTTGCACACAAGGGGAAGCGGCACATTGCGAGCCGGAGAGAAAAAGAGCCCTTTGTCCACCGTTGTGTAAGTGTGCCGCTTGGATTTGTCGGGGGTAGGGTGGGAGGGTGTTCCAGGAGCCCAGCTGAAAAGTGCTTGGGTTGGCGCGGGGCGCGCTTCCGATCACATGTCCCTTGGCCCGGCGTGCAGAAGAGAAAATTACACGGAGCGGCGGCGCTTCCCATGTGGCAGCAGCGCCCCAGTCTCACGGGCACTCGTGCCTTGCCTGCCGCTCGTGTGCACGCCTTCCCGCGCACCCTTTGCCCCGGAGCCAGCGGCGCCAGCAACCGATCGTGGCGGGAGGAGAGAGAGAGCGCTCCTGCCGCCCCTCCGTTGCTTTGCATCCACGCCGGGCAGGGAAATTCCCCGAAGCGCCAGCTTCATTTAGGCTCTTTCTTTTTTCCGATAGCCTTCCCCTTCAAAGAAAGCCCTCACGTTGCGTCCTAGGAATTTAAAATTAAATAAGTCTCCCCCATCAGGGCGGGCTGGGTGGAGAGAGAGAGGAGAGAGACGACGAGGAAGAGAAACCCCCGTGGCGAGTTGCATCATTGCACAGCAGAAAAAGGCAGCGCGAGAGGAAGACTCAGCAATTCTGCTCGGCTTTACTTACCTCTCCAGGTTTCCAAGAGCGCTTTCTCCTCCGCGCGGGCAGCATCTGTCACTCTCCCCATGCTTTGTCCCCCCCTCCCCGAGTTTTTATGACTTTTTGCCTTCGGGATTTGGTTTAAAATTAACACACAGCATGGGAGTTGACCGGGGTTGCGATGTGCACACACGCGAAGCACTGCAGTGCTGCAATTAGGTCTTGAAGTAGCACGCCCCCCCCTTTCTTTTTGAACCGAGACAGAAAGAGAGAGCACGTATCATCCTCGGATTAAAATTATTACTACGGGGTCTAAGCAAGCCTACGAGAGAGGTTTCGCCGGGGAAGCGGAGCTCGGCGTCCTCTGCCGCTCTGTACAGTTCAAAGCTGGGAGTCGGGGCGGCGGAGGGGGGGGGGAGAGAAGGAATCAGGGAACACGTGCTTGGCTCGGCAGCGTCCAAAGCTGCGGGAAAGCTTTCAATGCTCTTGAAGCCTTTCTGCTTGTCACTCGCTCCCGGCCCGCGAAATAACGATGCTAATCATCACCTAGCAATGCACCTCTTTCAGACTGCAGACAAGTCTATCTGATAGAAAGGGAAGTCACTGAAGCTTACCCCAGGTTTCTTTTTCTCTCCCCCCCCCACTTTTAAATTTAATGCCCCTTTCTCGCCTTTAAGTTTAGAACCACAGAACCGCTGCTTTTTAAAAAAAACTTCCGGCGATCATCGTCAGCACCTACCTGTATTTTGCAAAGACAGCCGCCCTTTCTGCTGAGGGGCTCTGTCTTGGGCATCTTCCGGAGGGTTGGTGGCTTCCGTGCTCACCGCCGGATCGAAGGTCGCACAAACCAACGCCAGGGTCACGACTTTCCCTAACCACTCTGCACACATGATCCTGGTGTGTTAACCCCCACAACGGCGATGGGAAACTGCCTCGCCCCCTACCCTTCTTTCTTCTTTGTATTTTAAAAAAAACAAACACCAAACCCAACAACGATAGAGAGAGAAAAAACAGAACAGGAGGGCTGATCAGATATGAGAGAGAGAGAGAAAGAGAATCCCCTGATCTTTCCACCCACGCGTGCGGCCAGCTCTGGTGCAAGTGGCAGAAGTAGGCAGGGAAGGGAGCGGACGGTGCCTCTAATATCCCTCGAAGCTCCGGTGTCACTTGAATGAAGGAGTCCAGCAGATGCGCTGCCCGCCAGGCCGACCAACCGGAGCCTCTCTTTCACTCTGACACCACGCTCGGGGGGCGTGGCCTTGCTCGAAACTACTACAACGCTCCCGCCAGGCGCGAGTATAACCTCCGGACGCGAAGTCGCTGCAAAGAGCAGCAGGTTGTAACCGTGCGTTGCGGCGGCCGCTTCGACACTCGCCGTCAGGCAACGATCCCCACCGCTAGAGCCGCCCTTCCGCACCGTTAAGTTACTTTCAAGTGGGAACTCCCTCCCCCCACCCGGCGGCCGAGGAGGGGAGGGGAGAAGTTCTTTTGGTAACCCCCCACCACTCCTATTGCCGGATTTATATACACATTCATGCAAGAATATCACATTGCTGTGGTTGCTAGTAGCAATTTGGAGAGGTGGCTCAGACTCAGGTTTTAACTGATGGCGGGGGTGGGGTGGGGGGAGCGGGTAATAAAAAGGCTGAGTACCAGAAAAATTCTCTCCCTCCCACATATCGTGGAAGCACGACCGAACTGCGCACAAGACCGGAGAGAAGCCGCCCGGGGATTGGGGAGATCAGATTTCGAGCAGGCGTCTCAGAGCGGCATGTGCCTGCAACAAGGAGCCCGGAGCGTTTGCAGTCTACACGTGTTGCCCTGAAACGGGGCAGGGGTGGAAGAGGCAGGCAGGGATCTTATTTGATACCCGATCGACCTCCTGCTTCCAAGAACAACTTTTTGTTTAGAAATCACCGCTCCCGTATGGACACAGGCGCTGGGACTGGTATCCAGGCGATCTGCTTTTATTATTCTTGGCTCCTTTTCTCGTAACTTCGCCGAGAGTCGGCAGTGGAAGGCATGCTGCCTACTCCCCGCAGGACATTAAAGAGAAATCAAAGACAGAGACACCGATCTTGCTCAACGGGAAAAAAAAAATTAAAGTGGAAAAAAAATGCCCAGTGGAAGCTAGAAGGCTCTCACTCTTTTTCCTATCGATCTTCCTCCATTCACAAACCTAACGCCCCTCCCTTTGATCGCGAGGATTTCAGCTTGTGGTTCTTCAGAATTTTGGGAGGGAGGGAGGATTTTTTTAGTTGACCCCCTCGCAGTATCTGCATCAACTTTCTGCATTACCTTTGTGTGTGTGTGTGTTTTTTTTTAAAGATATCCTAGCCCGATCCTGCATCACGCTTTCCTTGTATCCGCACTGAAGCATGGTTTCTGGGGCAACCCGTCCGCCCCCTTTCGAAATGCAATGGTGCGTTTGGGGGATTCCCACTTAAAACCTTCCGGCTGAGAGCAATCCGCTGGCCGCTCTTTTAAAAGCACACCCGCCCGCCCTTTCCTCCACCAAAGCCCTCCACCACCACTACATTTATGGTGCAGAAAAGCTGTGCACATCTGCCGCAGGTGATGAGCCTGAAAATGTGTGTGCTCCTATTCCCCCCCCTCCCCTCTGCAGCAACCGACTTTAGGTGTTTCATCAGACATGCCGCCAACCTGCTCGAACTTCTTTTCTGCAGTCTGGGAAGCGGGCGGGCGGGCAAGCAGCAGCAGCAGCGACTCCGAGCCCCCCTATCCTGCCTGGCCGTTGTATTGCAGGGAACTGAAGCAACGAGGAGGCGGCGATGATGCGAAGGTGTGGCCTTGGGGAGGCGGCAGCCGGGCACGGCGCGAAGTGACAGCCGGCTTCGGAGGAGGAGGAGGAGGGGCGCAGCAGCGAGCGAGGAATGTCTCTCCAGCTGCCGCCGCCGCCGCCGCCGCGCTCCCCGTGCTCCCACCTGTCAAAAGGCGCTTGAGAAAACCCACTCACATCTCCCGAAGCAAAGGGTGCCCCGGGGAGGAAGACGTGCCACTCAACCGCACGGCCATGGAGGATCGCCCTCCTCCTCCTCCTCCTCCTCCCGCTGCTGGCCCTCCTTCTCCCCCCACCGTCTGCCCGCCCCGCTCCTTTCAGCTTTGCCGGCTGAGAACCCTCTCCTGCTTGCTTTCAAGCCTCCCGGGCCGAGCATCTGGTTGTGGCCACAAAGTTTCTTTTGTTCCGGGTTTTTGGAGGGCAAGCGGCCGTGGAGCAGCGAAGAGACACAACAGGGCGGTTCGGGCAGAGGGCTGCGTGCGGTTTGGCGGCTCTTTCTGCAGGAAGCGCCGCATTCCTCTTCTTCAGGCCAACGTTTATGCCTCTTCTTAGGGGACGAAGCCCTCCCGTTGGAACGCAACACTCCGGGCGAGCGTCCCCCAAGCCTCCGTTCGCAGGTGAAGGCAGAACGTGCCCGCCAGCCGTCCTGCTGCTTCACCTGTGGGACTCCCGGCTGAGCCGTGTGAGTCAGCAGTTTGCAGCCGGAACCTTTCTCTCCCGCCCCCCCCCCCCCCCCCCCCCCCTTTGTCCCCCTCTGGGGGTGGGGGCGTAAAA